GGCGTAGGGCCAATCATATGCGGAAAAGGACTATTGGAAGAGGCAAATCTAATTCAAACAGCATGTCACTCAACGCAAGAAGCGAAGAAAAGTGAAATCAGTTTAGACGGATTCTGGAAGTTAAAAACCATAAGGATTATAGATCCACCTGAAATCACCGATGATGAATTAGCTATGAAACAATTTGAGGTGTACAATACAACGAAGGGCGCTACTCTGTAAAGTGGCCCTGGGAATCAGAATCGAATACGTTAACGGACAGCTATGTTCTAACTCTTAGAAGGCTGAAATCAACCGTTCGACGGCCGAAATTGGATCCCAAACTCTTCGAAAGATACGATCAAACGTTCATGGAGCAACTCGAGAAGGGAATCATCGAAATCTGCAATGGAAAGATGGATGAGCCAGTTTATTAATGTTGCACCATCCAGTAATCACTCCCCAAAGAAAATGATTGGCCAACGCACTGGCTGCCTGTGCGAAGATGCGTTTTTTGCATGGTTCCCCGCAGTTGTTGTTGCTACCCGTACCGGTTTTTTCGGCAAATGCTTCTAGCTAAACAAACTAAGGCTGGCCACCAGAACTATCAGAAAACATTCTATTTAAAATTTCAATCTTCTAGCTTCCCTGGCACCTGAGAAACTCTGGGCACAAAATTTTCATGGGCCCGTGCATGTTTACTGAGCATACCTGAGAGCTGGGTTCGAGCTGAATGAGTTTCATGGGCCCATGCATGTTTACCAAGCATACCTGAGAGCTGGGTTCGAGCTGAATGAAACTTAGGTGGACGGGGTATGCATACCTGAGAGCTGGGTTCGAGCTGAATGAAACTTAGGTGGACGGGGTATATCCTCTTAAAATTGCATCCCTTTAGTTTCTCAGGTACTCGAATTGTGAACTTACCCGAAAAAAATTTTGGCGGGCTCGTAGGGGGGTACCATGCTTGCCCGGGGGCTGGGTTTGAGCCCACTAATACCAGCTTGGGTGGGGAACATTACCGCAGGATTTCAGCCTTCTAGCTTCTCAGATCCTCC